ATGCCAATTCTGTCATAAATCATAAAGCAAAGGTCTTGATGCAGAGTCTCTAATAAGACTTGGTTAAGGAGGTGCACATGGTCATTTTTGGAGACCACTGCTCTGAGGTTTAAATTATACCGACCGTTCTGTTCTGTCCTGATGAATTATCCATCTTCCAGTAAGATTTAGCCATGGTTTTGGTCAGGGTTGGTCATGGTTCTGGTCTATGTTTCTTTCTAAAAATGTTGGTGCACCAGTAATCTGAGCATTGAGTATGAGACCTGTTTAAAATGTAAACTTTACATTGCCTTAGAAAAATGTAATAGTCAAATGTCGTTTGAAGCAGAGATATACTTTTCTGCTCATCCAATGTTGTTTCTTTACACTAGATGTTGGAACATTGCTGTGAAGATACACCACAAGAGCATTAGGGAGGTTGGTTATTGATGTTGGATGATTCTGGATCACAAACTCCACCCCAACTCGTTCCAAAGGTATGGGTTGGTGCTCCATCACTCCGGGGAACACAGTTGCAGTGCTCCACAGCACAGTGCTGGGGAGTTTATACCCCTCTAACCAATGCTTGGCATTGCGCTTGGTGAGCTAAGGTTAATGTGCAGCTGCTCCATAGTGTCCCATTCTATTGGCAATGCTTTTCTATGAAGATAAGATCCCCCTAGTGGCCATTCCACCAGCGGAAAAAGAAATCAGATATTTTTTATTGATGTAAACAAGTAAAATATGTTTACCCAGTAACTCTGCTATCAGATTAACTGAGACATTGTTGGCTCTCTGTGAGTGTGTTTACATGCACTTGAATAATCAGATAATTGGAAAACTCCAGGTCTACATGAGTCAGGCAGTAATCGGATTTCTGCTTGCAACCAGCCAATAAACTTACAGAAAAACGTGACTTTTTTGCGCCACTTTACCTGAAAATATGAACACACATCATCTAGAAAATGAAGAACATTTAAATCCTTCATTTCGTCAAACATGTAATCGGTTTCAGCGTCGCTGAAAGTGTTTTGCTGCATCTCGCTGCAACTCTGCTTGTTTATTTCTGGTACCACCGTCTGTTTTCGCACATGTGCAGACTGAGAAATCTGAAAGAAATCAGAGTAAGAGTTTACATGCACTGAGAAATCTGATTACTGAGCTAAAAGCCAGCCTCTTTATCAGATTTCTTAATCAGATTTCTAGACCTTAATCCGATCTAAGAAATCAGACTATGCTGTTTACATGACCATCTAAATAATCCGATAACTGAATCCGATTATGATCAGATTTTTGAGTGCATGTAAACGCACTCTGTGTGTGAGATACTGTGACTCTGCATTGAGCTGCTAGCGAGCAATGATGGGTTAAAGGGGAGTGCTGAGAACCATTCACACTGAAAAAAACTCACACTTCACAACTACAGCTTTCATGATATCTTCACATAAACAAAAAAAGACTTCTGAAAATGTTGCTCACTTGCTCACTCATCTGCAAAGATGAAAATCCAGAAAAAAATATGCGTAGTTCAGCTACACTGTTAGAAATAAAGGTTCTGTGCAGGTACATTTTTCATTCATCAAGGTACAAACAGTGCTTCCACAAATGACTTTTCCAGGTGAAAAGTTTGTATTTGTATCTTTTCATAACCGAATGTTTTAAAACAAAACAATAAAATAAAAGCCTGGAGACGAGACGGGGTGTGTGGAGTCAGTACAGCTTAGAAAATATCATTTCAGTGGATTATGGTACAGTTATGTTCCCTGACTAAAGGTACTGAGATGTGCCCTTAAGGGAACCATCCCAGTAACAAGAGGGGTACCTTAGTACCTTTATTTCTGAGAGTGTAAGAACCTCCAGAACAGGTGGAAATGGCATTTTATGGCTTCTGTGACAAAGAGTTAGAGTAGCTAATTCACTAATTAGAAGGGATGTCAGAATACAAATCCTAGTGCACTAAAATGTAAAATCCAACTGCATTGCTTTTTCATCATAGGATCATCAGAACCTCTTTCTGCTTCATGATAATCATGTGAATAACTCACTGCCTACAGGGTTTTACAGTCTATCTACGATCACGCTGGAACAGTCATAGCTGAGAAACGTCTCAAGTTTGAAAAATCTTTGTTTTTAATGCAGTCGGAGTAAGAATACATCAACTGCAGACATATTAGCTTGAATGACTCTTCCAGTCAATGGGGTGTGGTGGTAGGAAGCACAGGCAGTTGAAAGCAGCGAGAGTGGGCAGAGATGCTGTTATGCATCTCACTACAATCTGGCATCATGGGCTTACGGCAGGCACCTCGCGGACCCACCGCATTCAGTTTGTTCAGGCTGTGTTTCCAGAGACCTCTTCTGAAGACTGCAGCGGTGGCTCATGGGAACCCCCCTGCCGATGCCAGCGTTTTCCTCGTTTTTCCAGGAGTTAAAAGTGGTCTTAAGACGTTGCGCTGGGTGGAAAAACCTTTCGGAGGGGGTCTGTTGTATTTAGGATCAGTTGTTCTTCTCTGGATATTATTACAGAGCAAGTGCTCTCCTGAGCTGGAAACGGAATCCGAGAAAACACACTGGAATGTGCCATGATAAATTTCACGTGGCACAGCAGTGCCAAGGGGCTTTGGGATGAGGACGGCTATATGAGCTCCAAAAGTTCAGCTTTATAAAAGACATTATCACACATACGTTCATTAGTCGTTTTTCTTAGGCGGTAAAACGACATGCGTTTGAGTCTATTTTGACTCGTTCTGCTTCTCTGAGCTCCGCTGGGTGTCATATTAGCCAATATTTACATAGATGAGGATTACTTGGGAAAAATCAGGCGAGCCCGACATGGTGGTCCGTATGTGTCAGACAACCGGACACCAAATTAATCCCTATAATTAGACTATTGCTGCCTTTTTAATGATACATGAGCACTCATGGTGTCTGATATCAAAGGAATAACAGGAGCTGCCAGGACTTGACTGGTGACAGATTTGGCCAGAAAATGTCCACTCACACACACTTCGTCCCCCAAATTAGGCCTTAATTTAATGGAAGCAACACATTGTTGGGTGACAGATGAAGAATCATCTTACTCTCAGTTCAACACCTAAAGCTCAAGCTTTACTAAGATCAGTTATCGTAGATCTTATCCAGTTAATCAGACGTTGTTTCCAACTTCCCAGTCCAGTGATGGAAATGTATCAATATCCAACACTGTACATTAAGAAGAATCCTTGTATGCTTACATACAGTGAGGGGAAACAAGTATTCAGACACTTTGGTTTTGTTATTTAATGTATGTCCAGAGCATATATTCACTTAAAATGTATGCACACAATTTCTTTCTAATCTGTAAGTTTTAGATATTAATAATGCAATCAAAAAATGTTCTGGTGCAAACTGAACCTGGTGTCAGTATAAAAGAAGATGCCATTGGTTGAGAAGTTTTTACACAAGTAGTAATCACAGTGAAGGTAAAGGAGCCTCCTGAAGTACTCAGGAGCAGCGTTATTAAACAACACTCGAATGGAAAAATGTTACAGAGCCCTCACAAAGACCTTAAACAGCCCTATCAGTACAACTGGTTCAATAATGTGCAAGTGGAAAGATTTCACAATGCGCTGTCAGAGTAAGAAGCCAGATGTCATTCAAAAAGAGCTGCAAGGCAGCCTAAAACAATTAGGAACCACAATTACACATAGAACAATAAGCAATGAACTGCACCACAGTCATCTCCGTTCCCACACCCCACGATAAAAAGCACAGAGATGCGTGTCTAAAATGTGCACACAAGCGTTTAGACAAATCGGGACTCTTCAGGATCAACGTACTCTGGTCAGATAAAACTAAAATAGAACTCTTTGTCAATATTTCAGCTCATTATGTTTGAAGAAAGACGGGGGATGGGTGTGTGATCAACAAACACTGCATAAACAGTGAAGTATGAAGGTGGGAGCATCATGATATTGGACTGCTTCTCTGCAAATGTTAATGAAAAATTAGACATCTTCAAAGGAACCATGAATGGAGCATTGCAGTGGGACATATGAAAGGAGCATTTAATCTCATCAGCCAATTAACTGAATCTGGAGAGAAAATGAATGTTTCAAATAGACATCAACCCCAAAATATACAGCCAAAATAACTCAAGGCTGGTTTCTATGAAAAGAAGGTGAAGGTGCTTGCATGGCCTTGCCACTCTCCTTACCTGAACCCCTTCAAGAGTTTTTGGAGAATTTTGGAATTGTGATTCCATCAGAGGGACCTTTGTAACCTAAGGGATTTGAAGATGATTCGGCAGGAGGAAAAGGCCAAAACTGGTCCACAATGCCATAAAAAGTTCACCTCTTACTGTAGACATCTTGAATGTGTCACTGCCAACAATGGCTTTGCAACAGTACTGCTGTTATTCATTTGTGGTGTCTGAATATTTTATTCCCGATCATATAATAACATATAAGTACGAATCAAGTATGTAAGTACTAAGTCAAATGATGTGTGTACATTTGAAGGGGATATATGTACTAGATGTATATTAAATAATGAAAACAAAAGCATAAGAATACTTGTTTCCCCTCACTGTTGGCTCCATTTCTCACTACTCCCTACATGAACCTATGGTCACTATGCCCAATGTCAAGCATCAACTACAGGGGTATAACGCTCCCCAGCATTGTGCTGTGGAGCAGTGGAGCGTTCTCTGGAGTGATTGAGCTCCATCCAAAACTTTTGTGATGAACTGGAGAGATCCAGAACTGACCATCCAACATCAGTACCTGACCTCACTAATGCTCCAATGACCGAATGCAATCAAATCCTCACAGCAGAGTCCCAACATCTAGTGCAAATCCTTCCCAGAAGAGTAGAGGCTGTTACTGCAGCAATGGGAAACCATCTCTTTATTAATCACTTTGATTTCAGACGAAACGTTGGATGAGCAGGTGTCCACAAACTTCTGGACATACAGGCCCAGAGCGGATTTTGGCATCCAGCTCTCTAAACCGCGTTCACCACTCCAGCAGAACTACAGGGGCGACCTCACGTGGTCAGAGTTCAGTATTCATGACAGACAAATGAATATCACAGAACAAGAAACCCGGCGGATGTTGAGCTTGAACTCCTCTATTTCTCTTTTCGTTTAGCGTTTAAAGAGCACAACGTAAATAACTCGTTAGCACGTAAACACCGAAGCTGAGAACGCGGAAAGGAACGATCCCGCGGGGAGCATTTCCAGCCGGGATTATTTACCTGTAACTCCGTGAGCAGACTGGTTGCTACTGCTGTCGTTTTTCTTTTTTTTACAGACAGCAAAAGAAACTCGTACCGTCATTTTTAGTCTGCACGTTATCTGCTTAACTCTTGGTGAGTAAGATCGGCACAGTTTCCTCGATGTGGTGTTTGAAGCGAAGCTAATAAGTTAACGTTATTGGAAGCAGCTAACAGGCTACATAGGTTAGCTAACCCTGCTGATGCTCGTCTAGCTGGATAGTTAACGTCAATAATTGACGTTAATAAATAATAATTCTAAAAAAAGCAACCAAATAAACTTGTTTAAAAGCCACAGAAATGTAAACAGAGCTCTGTATTGGTCTATAGTTGTTGGGTTCTCTGGTACAGTCCAGCTAACCCTCCTAACAATCATTAGCCTCGCTGTTCAGAGAAGAGGGGGCTTATAATTTAGCGCGGTGTATATTTGTCCGTCTAAATTTAGTTTAATGCTTTTACTCTAACGTTTTCTTAGCTAACTTGCTCACCAACACTTTCTTTCAGAAGGAAAACACTCGGTAAAGAGCTCAGGGAAAAGGCTCCCACTGAATTCCCATGAGTTGTATTTGAAAACGCTTTTACTACATAGAGACAACCAGTGGCGTCACTACTAATGGATCAGTTCGACCCAAAGAACTTCATTGGACCCCTCATGTAGATACTCGCACCCGTGACTCACAGAAAGACCTAGTTTCTAGCACCATACCTCACAATTTAGCTTCCTTCAACACAACACAGACAGCCCTGACCTCTATTAATGACCCTCTTATTGCTAGAGCATCTTATCCATTTTCAGATGGATATTTTGTGATCAGTAATATGATTATATATTCATCTAAAATCTAAACAGGTAGTCCAACAAGCATTTAGTTTAAAGGTAGGTGTTAGAGAGGGGAGTTGCATGCCCTGAAAGCATCGGCTTTTTTGAGGCATAGCAATAGCAAGGAAATGAAATTGAAAGGATTTTTTGTATTACCTTGGTTGACTGATTGATTGCACAGACTCCGTAAGATCCTAGTTAGGCCAGTGGTGGCAACCTTAGAAGTGAACAAACCTCTCAGAAAATGAAGTCAAACTATGGTTGTGTGACATCTGGTTATATTTTTATGATTTTAGGTTCTTTGGGGGTCAGTTTCCTCCATTAGAAAGCACCAAGCCTCAGCAGTAACCAGAAACGATGGAGCCTGCCTGTCGAAAAGACAAGCAAAAGCAGAAAGAGACTCCGACACGAGGTGACCGAGCTAAACAGAAGTCTGCTCAGCAGGAGCTCAAGCAGAGACAGAGGGCAGAGGTAACGTCAAGCTATGTTTCAACCTTAATACCCACATAAAACCTAGTGGGGCCATATGGCAACAGTTTTTTTTATTTGATTACAATACAAAAATCCACTTTTTGTACTTGTTTGTGAAACTGAAGTTTGTACACTTTTCCCTAATCACTTGCCTTCCTGTAAGTGTATAAAGCTTCCTTTTTTCCACACTTACACACCACATGTAGAGGCCTGGCTTCTACACTCATCAGAATATCTATAGAATTCAATTTTACATATTTTAAGAAAATTGTTTGAAACTGAATCTCTAGGAAGTTTCAGTTTCCTTTGCATAAATGCAACTAGTTTAGATGCCATAGTTGTTGCCATGTCGCAACAGCATGCAACAATGGGACTGCAATGTATGCAGTAGGAGTACTGACATTTTCACCTTGTACACTTCTTACAGTCTACTTTCTGTGCTCTTTAGATGTTTATGAATATGGCAATTTATTTATTTTTTATTATTTTTTTTATTTAGCAGTGGTGGTGGATTGGTGTACTCTCATCATATATAGTGTAATCCATGGTCATATACTGTTGCCATATGGCAACAAAATGCAAAGTACCCTCTACCACCCAGAATTCTTTTTCAAAATATTTATCATTGATGTGCAGCTACCAGTATTTACACTAGTGTTTTTTTCTTTTTAGCAAAAAATGAACAAATTATTTATTTCACTATGAACCACTATTTATCATTGATGTGGAAAAGGGTTAAACAAATATTTATTGTCCACTTTATTAAAAACCAATGCAGTTCCATTGTCTCATACTGTTGCCATATGGCAACAAATGCAAAAACTTTTTTTTTTCCCCAATGTGTATCATAATTCATGCACCGAAGGGTTAAACAAACATTGACTTTCCACTTTATTAAAAGCCCCAAATATTTAGATGTGCAGCTCATCTGTTATCATGCATATTTTGCCAGTTATGTTATACCCCTGTTTCTGACCACAAAACTAGATATTTTTATTTTTATTTTTTTCCAAATATTTGTGTCACTGTTAGCATGAGAATGGTCCACCACCCAAAAATATTGTTGAGCATTGATAAAGGTCAAGAGGATGGCGTACACAAATTGTGCATCAACAGATGAGCTAAATTCTCTAACTATATACCAGCAAGGTGGAGCTATGAGGTTGGGGTATCTAATAAAGTGGACACTGAGTGTACATACACGGAGAGTGTGTTTGTTGCCTTTTTGATGAAAATTAGTGTAACTCTTAGGTGTGAGTTGGATCGTCCAGTGGTGCTGGCATTCCTGTAAATATGTCTTCTAATTGTGTTACAGATCTACGCCCTGAATAAAGTAATGACAGAACTTGAGCAGCAGCAGTTTGAGGCCTTTTGCAAGCAGATGCAGTCACAAGCAGAATGAAGACGGCCACGTTTAGACTGGACAGACCCAGCTGATGCTGAACCTGACTTAGCGCTCAAATGAGCTAAGTTCCTGCAGAAATATCCAGCTGTCTAGTCCAACCCTAGGATCTGTATTCACAAAGCATTTTTAAGTCCCCCCAATATGCCTTTACCACTGTGTGGTTAAAAGCAAAACCAATCCAGAAATCCCAGCCTAGAACTCTTTGTGAATGTGTTATTGATGTTACTACCTGTGTATGCCACCTGATAATCTGTCTGTTTGATCACACTACTGCATCTTACACCATAGTCATCACAAGAAGAGTCAGTCGAGTGTTTGTATATTGCATGGTTTCAGGGCAAAGTGCTTAGATTAGACTGAATGGACAATCAATGATCAGGTGCAGCTACCAGTATTTACACTAGTGTTTTTTTTCTTTTTAGCAAAAAATGAACAAATTATTTATTTCATTATGAACCACTACCACTTTAGTGCTTAGGAAGATTGTGGAAGCAACATACTAAGATTGTAAAAGAACAACGGATCAAATATAAAATGTTAATATTGGTGCTATGTGTCAATCTATATGTTATAAAAACATATACATATTCTGTAACATCTCATTGTCACCCATGATGAAAAGCTGATCAGCAGACCAGTTGTGACAGAGAATTTTGTAATGTCCGTTTTATTTTTCAGAATTGTATCCTGTTGGTTTTAAACACTTTATATTAATTCTTTGTATGATTTTACTCCGTTTACAATGATCTGAAGACAACAAGAAATATGTCATTCACTTGGCTCTATTACTCACTTGTATTTTACTTTTTCACAGGTCGATGATTGTCTGTCAACCACTAATGACCACTGATATTTTTGTGTACATTAATGTTTTTAATAAATGCATATTTTGAACAAGAAACAACTGCATGCCCTGCCTGATTGTATTATCATTTATTTACTGTGCAAATTCAGAGACTACCCTTCATTTATTTAATTTCTAGATAAAATGTGTACAAGTTATTTACTTTTTAGATGATATTTCTGAGGAGATATAAGTCAAAGGAAAAGTAACACCTGGGTTTCCAACATTGAACTTCATAAAGTTCATACATTTATTAAAATATATAAAGAAAATGGGACTCTTAACAACCATGCAAGACTAGACAGACGACCAAACTGGTCTCCGTCAGATAAACTCTTACACAACAACAGATAATCCACACATATTTCTGTCCATCCTTCCACTGTGAGAAGACAACACTATGAGTCTGAAAGGATGTGTAGATGTCAAGAAGCCTCACTGAGAAAACTGCTGAATCTCTGGCTATCTATCTGTCCATCCATCCATCCACCTATTTATCTATCTGTCCATCCATAAATCCACCTATCTATCTGTCTGTCTGTCTGTCTGTCTGTCCGTCCGTCTATCTGTCCATCCATCCATCTGCCTATCTGTCTATCTATCCATCCATGCATCCATCCATCCACCTATCTATCTCTCTGTCTGTCTGTCTGTCTGTCTATCCATCCATCCATCCATCCATCCACCTATCTATCTATCTATCTATCTATCTATCTATCTGTCTGTCTGTCTGTCTGTCTGTCTATCTATCCATCTGTCCATCTATCCATCCATCCATCCATCCATCTATCCATCCATCTATCTACCCATCTATCTATCTATCTATCTATCTATCTATCTGTTTGTCTATCTAAGAGGAAATTAGAAGTAAAACTGAAAAGATGAACTCTTGCTTATCCAACAAAAGTTGCTGGTGTCCTCAGAACAATGGACTGACCGCCAGTCCAGACCTCAACATCACTGAATGTGTTTGGAATGACTTGGGTTGTGATTAGCAGTGCAGCCAGTTTCAAAGACTGGACTGTGGAAGTGTGGAAAAACATCCCTGCAGATTTCCATGAAAAACTTAAAGCAGGTCTACTTAAAAGAACGGATGCTATAATGAAAGCAAAGGATGGAAAATTTTGAAAGCATATTTAATTTTTTAAACCTCTTGCAATTTTTTGCAGTTTTCTGTTTTTTTTCCCCCATGTTGAAGAATGAATTACTTGTACTTAAATGCCTTTTAATGGTCTCTGATTTTCACACAGTACAGTAGTTTTGATTTTTACCTACTAATTAAATCTCTGCTAATTTCACCTCCCATCAGGCTCTAGGCTTATTCCATTGTTTGTGAATTCACATGAACGTGTGCACGTCAGTGCTGCCACAGTGTAAGTGTCTGGAAGACGTGCCTCCCTCTCTTCCCATCCATTTCCACCTGCATTATGCATTCAGCTGTCAGCGTACAGAAAGATCCTGGTCTTAATAAGACAACCGTGCTGCTCCATGCAAAACATGCAGCTGTCAGGAAGAAACAATGAAGTGTCAGTTTGCCATCAAGGCTTTGCCTCACAAGTTGTCATGCACGTTTGCGTGCGGGAGGCATCATGAAGACTTGGACACGTCTTGTGTTTTGACTGGGCCGCTTTGTTTTGACAGATTGTCATTGCTTTGTTGGTTGTCCACAAGGGGGCAAGAAGGCCTACTGCAAAACGAAGCTGGTTTTTGGTGATGACATCATTGTTCTGTCAGCATTCAGCGTAGGCATGTGCATAATAATATATATGGGCATAATTAAGAGATTTTGGTGTTTATTCCTTGGTGTAATTCTATTGTAAACCTGTAAGGGCCATTTTTCCGTTTTTTCTGATAAAGACCACTTCTGTGTGGTTTTATGTGTCAAAAATTCATTTTTGACTTCTTGTAATTCATTTTTGTAATTCATTCTCATTTGAAATACACTATATGGCCAAAAGTATGTGGACACCTGACCAAAACACCTGTATAAGCTTGTTGGACATCCCATTCTAAAACCATAGGCATTAATATGGAGTTGCCCCCTCCTTTGCAGCGATACCAGCATTCATTTCACTGTGGATTTTGGAGTGTGTCCGGGAAATTGTGAGGTCAGGTACTGATGTGGGACTCGAAGGCCTGGCTCACAGGTCAGGGCTCTGTGCTGGCCACTGGAGTTCCTCCACACCAAACTCGCAAACCATGTCTTTATTGAGCTCGCTTTATGCAGTCATGCTTGAACAGGAAAGGGGCCTTCCCCAAACTGTTGCAACAAAGTTCCTTCCAGAAGCTGTAGTGATTGATGCAACAGAGCTTAGGAGATTTCACACCACGGGCCTCATACTCTGTGAGTTTGTGTGGTCTGCCGCTTTGTGACTGAGATGCTGTTGCTCCTAGATGCTTCCATTTCACTTTAATAGCACTTAGAGTTGACTAGGGGAGACCTAGCAGGGTATACATTTCACAAGCTGTCTTGTGGCAAAGGTGGTACCTGTTAGCAATGAGTGTGGCAGAAACACCTGAACTCAATCATTGGGAGGGGTGTCCACATACTTTTGGCTTCTGTTCTAATCAGGTGCCCTCTTTAGTGCCTTGTTCACAAAGCACTCTCAGAGAACATGTAGAGATGAGAATTACCACTCTGCAATGTCTTCCAGGTTTCTCAGACGCTAGAGGGCGCTCCCGAGCAAGTCCAAAATGAATGGGTTGATATTGAGCATTTGAGCAAATCATAGTTTATAAATGCTTAAACATTTTTAATGTAAAAGAATACATTCATATCCTGAACACAGAAAAGCACAAAACATTTTAACACTGCTGTTATATTTTTAAGAGCTTTTAAACTCGAGTTATAGGAGTTTAAAACGGCGCCTAATGAACGTCTATGACGTCTGAGAGCGTGAACAGCCAATGAGCTGCTCCGCTCGCCAATCAATCAGCACTCACTAACAGTAATGCCCGCCTTCTGCTGCCCAAAACCCGTTTGCTGTAGAAAAAAGGAAACATACAGGTAAGTTTACCTTGCTTTTTTAGTGAAATCCATCCATCCATTCTAAAATTAAAGAAACGTTCTGGGCGAGAGATTAGAAACTATTTTAACTTTTCGTTTTTAGCCATTGAGCTCCATTCACTCCCATTCATTGAGGACTCCCTCTGCTGTTCAGCTGTCCAGTTTTTGATATAACGGGGGAGATAGGAAGTGGCCAGGCTCTTCATAAACCGGCTCTAGCACTCTGTGTAACAAGCTGTTATTTCGTATAGTGACATTGGAAAAGTAAACTTTAGACTCTTCTGGAAGTTATCACCCACATCTTCAACTCCAATAACTCTGCTACAGTTACTGTCTCTAGTCCATATCACTTCAGCATTAATGGGGCAGCCCAGCTCCTGAGGTCTGAATGGGTGATCATATGTAAATGTGCTCATGCTTCTGACATCACAACAATGATGAATTCAAAATGAGTTGTTTTTGCTGCTTCCTTTCCCTTTATAGACTAAGAAGAGTCCTGGAACTCTTTTATTAAGTAAAGCAAAGAAAATGAGACTATTTCACAACATGACCCCTTTATGGAAGGACTGTGAAGAATGAGTGTCTGAGAATAACAAATTAAACACATTCACTGGAAACACTTTTATCATTAGTTTAGATTTTATTTAGTCTTTCCCTTTGATTTACAGCCAATAACAGACACACTGTTGCCACTTATATATTCTCTTGCCCTTCTTTGACTGGCGGGTTTAGAACTGAATTGTGTCTGGTTGCAGAGAGTGCATTAGTAAAGGTAAAAGCAGGGGTAGCTACATCAGCAGAGGTAGTTGTTAGTAGATCATGCTTACAATGTTAGGATACGATTCCATCAAGTTAGGAGGGGTTCAATAGTCAAACAAAAGCTTGCATTTCATTTCTCAGGAGTATCTTCTGGTTTATAAACATTCTCGACTGAATTTTCCATTGAAGCATTAGCTGAAGAGCCATCCATCAAATACCCACTATAATAAGTTCGACTGCATATCATTCATTCTCCACGTCAGACTCCTAAGTGCACAAATCTAAGCTGAAGTTGGTCCCAGAACAGAACGCATAGGCCATAAATTGTCTAGAAGCTACTCAAGACTAGCATTCAGAGAGTTTGACGCCCTGTCTGTCTCGACTCTTTTGCAGGAGGCTTTTAGAGCTCTATAGTGATGGAGCTGCCAGTAACTCTCACTCCAAACCAGCCGTCCCAGAATTTGGTGTCCTGACCGCCATGCTCGAATGTGATGAAGCGCAGGCCTGGGCCATATTCAAAGAACGTGTGGGAAATCTGTGAAGAGGGAACTGTTATCATAATTTTGATATTATGTTATCAACACACCTTTTGAAACATTTGAAAAGTATAGTCATACATACAAAAGAGGATTATTTTCACTTAAAAAATCAACAAAATGTAGTTTACCCAGGGTGGTTCAAAATTTGCAAATAACAATCATAGAATTTAAAAGGGGTGTAGATCTTCCACATTTCAGTAACTCTATTTGATTATTTTATTTTTATATTATTCTTAAATAAATACTTCAATGCATCATGAAATCTCAAATTTCGCTGACCGCCCTACAAATGCCAAGATATTTTCTTATTATTAGGTTTGAAAATAGACTGAGAATTTTATTTTGTGCAAAAATAAGTGCGTGCTTTGTTAAATATTTTTCTATTAATATTACATATCGCTGCATTCAGAACAAAACCTCATATCTCCATTTTTGTTGATTTTCAGTTTGTGTCATAATCTGAAAGTGCCAGTTGCTCTTTACATTGTCTGCAAATTTCATAACGAACTGACCAAACAAAATGGCCCCAAATGACTTGTAAAAAAGTCTGGTTCCATTGACTTACATTTACAGTAAAGTAGGTTTTTTCCTTCTCCTGTAAAATTCTAATTTCGGAGGTTTTGTTCCAAAAGCAGCGATATTCAAGAAAACGTGACAGCAATCTGATACTAGGCCTCAGTATCAGACCAATATCAATAGTAAGTGCTGGATCGGATATTGGCGGGGAAGCAAGAATAAATCCTATTCAATGCTGTAACAAATCTATCTTGAAATAGCACTCCCTCACACGGGCCACTGTTCATCATCAGTTGCGTATGATCAAATCTGACGATAAAATTATTGAAAACTTATATATAATACCAATAATTAAAAATAGGAAAGAACAATAATACTAATCATTTGTGCACATCCAATACAAATATGTACTTGTCTTATTAGATGTACATATTTTATTAGATATACTTATTAGAAGTACTTATTAGCTGTACTTATATTATTAGATGTACTTATTAGGTATACTTATTTTATTAGATGTACTTATTTATTAGATGTAATGATTGGTTGTACTTATTTTATTAGATGTACTTATTAGATGTACTTATTTTATTAGATGTACTTATTAGATGTACTTATTTTATTAGGTGTACTTTTTTTTAGATGTACTTATTAGATGTACTTATTTTAGTAGATGTAATTATTAGATGTACTTATTAGATGTACTTATTAGGTGTACTTATTTTATTAGATGTACTTATTTTATTAGATGTACTTATTAGATGTACTTATTTTATTAGATGTACTTATTAGATGTACTTATTAGATGTACTTATTAGATGCACTTATTTTATTAGGTGTACTTTTTTTTAGATGTACTATTAGATGTACTTATTAGATGTACTTATTTTAGTAGATGTAATTATTAGATGTACTTATTAGATGTACTTATTTTATTAGGTGTACTTATTTTATTAGATGTACTTATTAGATGTACTTATTTTATTAGATGTACTTATTAGATGTACTTATTTTACATGCATATTGATATAAACAAATGCTGCAACTATTCTGTGCTCCATTTAAAGACATATTACACTGTGTTTTTGTTTTATACTACTGACTCAAGGTTTCAATATCAGTATCGGTATCAGAAAAGTTGTATCGTCTTTAAAGCACAAAGCTAATTTCTAAACAAATGCATTTCTAAAACCCCTTGTAAACTTCATGAGTTTATTTATGAATATATTATATGGTTGAACCATACACTGACTAACCTTTAGATGTTCAGTTTTTGCCGAATATTTCTGGTGACAGAAGGACTGATAGCTGAGCATGTTGGTTTAAATATAGCAGTTTGAAATGTTAAAGGTCAGAATGTTTTGCATATTAAATAAACATTTAAAAGCACATTCCTAATGTAACATATCCTCATTGCTAAGAATAATTATAAAGCACCTGTTATCACACAATCATATGATGGGTCAGGTGGAATGAGCAGTGCATCACCCCAAAAGTTTAAATGAAGCCTACATCACTGGGAGTCTGCACTTCTGACTTTTTCCATTTGCCAACATATGATAAAAATAAAAAGGTGTAAAAAGATGTTTTTTTCTATTCTTGAATTTCATGTGTTGTCACACTGTATAGTTGCCAAATCAGGGAGTGACTGCGCTGCTCAATGCTTTCAATTTGCAGTGCTTTGTGAATGATTCACCTGTAACACAGAAGCCGAGAGACGAGAGACACACAGACCTTTAATCCAGTGTTTCAGACTCCAGACTTGGAGCCCCTGCACTGTATAGTTTAGTGTTTCTCTGCTGCTCATCTCGTTAAGCTCAAGAAGGGATTAATTAGCTGATAATATCAGGTATTTTAACCAGGAAACCACAGTTATGCAGTGCAGGGGTTGCAGGACTGGAGCTGAACTCTGAACTAACTGCACTAGCAAACTTACAGAATCACGTCTGTCGAAACACGACGCCGTTTTCTGATCCACGACATTCAGTCTGATATTTAACGTTTATGTTTCTCCATTCAAACCTCATTTAAATCTCCAGAAACAGAGAGTAAAGTTATACCGGCTGTCTGCAGCTCCGTTAGGGGGCGACTGTTCATCTCTCGGCTGTTAACATCAGCTAAAGTTACCTAAAGGCCAGCATTGTTCACATCTGTGTTAATTAGCTGATGTCGTTACCCTCCTATGATGACAGAGAGTTCTTCTCCTCTTTATGCAACACCATGGGATCCTGTACCCACCCTGACGCTTCTGTGCTTTTAAATGCTCTGAGAGACTCTCCAGAACAGGGAGAGGGGCTGAGTACGAGATAAATATAAATGTCAGGAAACAAAAATGTGCTACCTTTTCCGCCAGTTTAAGTGGAACCAAGAGTTCAGGGGGAAACTGTATAAGGATCTCATCCTATTTTATCGAATTTGTCGAGGAACGTTTTTTTCTCTTCCAAAGTAAGAAGAGTCATTTTAGCCGTCTTTCACCTCTAGTTATGTTCGTACAAAACAGCAAAGCCAGAAATTCGGTCCCAAATATGGTGGCCACAAAAGAAAAGTCATGTGACCGAAACCCTGGGATACACACAGCAAAACAATGACTTCATATCAAATTCTAATCTTGATAAAACACAAATGTGGCACGGACTGAAAGTTTAGAATCTGCACTTTCAACAGAATGACCACTTGTTTTATGCTTTTGGTGTCTCCAGCCTTAACTCAAATGGTTAACACTGTAGAATATGACTATTACTATGACTATTATAAGAGAATAGAGCTCTTCTCTCACCTCTCTCCATGAGCAGTCATCAGTGTCAGGGTCGATATTCACATCGTCCTGCCTGAACTCCTGCATCACCTCCTGATTCTCATCAAGCAGAGACACTCTCACCTGGTAAACACACCCACAGTCTGTACGACTACAGTACCTAGAACACACACACACACACACACACACACAAGGCTACGTTCACATTACAAGCATCATTGCTCAAATCTGATCTCTCTGACACGATGGTTCATACTCGTTTAGATGATTCAAATCCGTCAATAATGTGAACGAACCGGCGTCCTGAAATGAGCCGCATGCGCACATCCTACTCAGTAACGTCATGTGAATGAATCACGTTCATCATCAGCACAAACTAACGAGCAGAACGAGCTTCACTGAGAAGATAATTAACTCTGATCAGCTGTTCATTATTAGAGCATTATTTCCACCGTTTACAGGCTTTAACGTCTGTTCGGTGCTGCTGCCATGGTAACGCTGAATGATGGAGCACGCGCATCCGATCTGAGCGGCACATTAAGGTCGCATGGCCAGAGAGAAGAGAGAACTTGTAGAGCGGAGATTTCCTTAAATGGCTTCTCAAACGCTAGAGGGCGCTCCTGAGCGAGTCCAAAATGAATGGGTTAAGATGGAGCATTTGAGTAAAATCATGGTTTATAAATGCTTAAACATTTTAATGTAAAATAATACGTTAATTTCCTAAACACTGAACAGCATAAAACATGTCTTAAACATTTTAAACATTTTTAAAGCTTTTAAACTCGACTTATAGGAGTTTAAAACGGTGCCTCATGTACGTTCATGACGTCTGTGGGCACAAACAGCCAATGAGCTGCTGTTTTTGATATAACGCAGGAAATAGGAAGTGGCCAGGCTCCTTATAAACCGGCTCTGGCATGGCCACGAATCTGATACCTATCCGATCTAGGACCACATATGAAAGGCCACGTTCACACTACATGCCTCATTGCTCAAATGGCGCACATGCAGTCCACACAGCCCTGAAAACATCAGATCTGAGCCACATTAGGGCAAAAAATCAGATTTGTGCCACTTCAACCTGGTAATGTGAACATAGCCCAAAGCATGGGACCAATAAGAGGGTCATTATTTTTTGGAGCACAGAAATGTTGA